TCCTCCTTTGAATGAAACTGATTGGAGGCATGCATTAGAGTAAAATGCATGAAAAGGGCGTCAGGAAGAGAGCATGCCACTAGAAAAATGCCTGCTATAAAGAGCATACAAGTACTAAAAAACACACAACAACAACCCAGGTCACCAACTTCACTCAATGATTAAATATCTTCACTTACAGCAGTCTCTTAGGTCACCTGAGGCACTGGGCAACTCAAAAACAGTCTGTACATTCCAGCCACTTACTTAAGCTTTTAAACAGGAGGAATGCCAAAGAATTTTCGATTATCTTTTTTTAAATTTATTTATTTATGCATACAAGAACTGGGATCTAGGCCAGAGGTGGGTGGGGGTTGGGGGTAAGAGACAAAGTGGGAAACAGAACAGGTGGACTGACTGAAATACACTGCTGAGGGGTGCCGTGGGCAAGACAGGAGAGATCTGCTGCGCTATGTGGGCAGCTCCCTGGCCAGTTGGGGATCGAACTCATAATGCAGTGGCCACGGATAGCTTCACAGAGCTGTGCTTTACCCCTTGCGCTACCAGTGATAGCACCATGAAGTGCAAATTATATTAAGAGGAAAAATACTGAAATACATAATATCTTCAACTTTTTTAGCTTAATGTCAAAAGTAATCCCTAAGATGGGCATTTTTCCTACATTAGTTTCAGACAAGTAACCTGCCAAGATATATATTAATGTATTAATATATAGTATATATTATATATTATATATATTATATATATTAATATATATATATTATATATAATCATATCAAGTGTGATTCTGAAACTAATTTTCTTTCTTCCACCAAGAGGACTAAAACAAGGTATCAAAAAACAGGGCTCAGAATTGAAGTCTAGGATCATCCCTTACTGGCTGCTTGCCCACTTCCATTTTTTAATCTGTAAATCCCAAAGAAACAAAATGAAATGAAGAACAGGAAAAGTTCTTGCACACCATAAAATTTTATTACCATTCTTTTTACTGTTTAAAATAAAGTTTATTTCTGGGGCCTCCATGGTGGCGCAAGGGGTTAAGACACAGCACTATGAGGCAGTCTGCAACCACGGCAGCACAAGTTCAATCACCCACCAGGGAGGTGATCCACATTGTGCAGCAGACCTCTCCTGCTTCACCCGCTGCTCCCCTCAGCAGTGTATTTCAGTCAGTCCGCCTATTCTGTTCCCCACTCTGTCTCTGGTGAATTCTCTCACACCCCGCACCTCTGGCCTGTAACCCAGTTCTTGTATGCATAAATAAATAAATCTTTAAAAAAAAAATAAAGTTTACTTCTATTAAACTTTAAACACTAGGAAAAAAATCCCCATAAACTAAAATTAAAAAGGTCAGATTGCCACAGAAGAATGGTAAATGCCTTTACCTTGACACTGTTAGTGCTTCTTTTTCCTGTACATCAGCGAAAATGAACTCTCTAGAAAAGCATGGATGTTATGCTGTAGATGAAAATTGTTTCAGTCATCACTACACCAGTAACCACATGGAAACCAAAAAACCACGAAGGAAATGAAGTTCACTATTTTTTTATCCAGAATCATAATAACTAATAAAAGCAACTTTTTTAATAGCACTACCTTCATTCAACTTTGAGATTCTCTGACACCAAAACCCTACCAACTCTGAAATCTACCATAACAAAGCTTTATCGAGGAATACTCTTCCACTTAAAGAAACATTTTTAAAGGCTAAAGACACCGAAAAATGCTCACAAAACAATACTGTGTAATAAAAACAAGACATAATGCTATTAAAATTCACTGAGAGTTTATTATATATCAGAACTGTGCTAAGAGCTTTTTGCATGTTTTATCTTATTGAATGTTTACAACAGTCCCATATGATATGATCATTTTACAGGGAAGGAAATTGAGGCATATCTTTCTGATAAGAGACACTAAGGTCACAGTGCAACAAATCACAAACAGGGAATTTGAACCCATCCAATTATGGCAATCTCACATGTCCAGGCATTCGGGACACATGAGTAGGCGGACTCTAGAACGTATAACCTATTTGGTACTATGCTATACGCTACAGACATTAATTTTTGTTAAAAATGAATAAAGATGGGGAAGTATCTCCAGCTTGAGCTCCAGCTGAGACTCAGAGGAACCTGGTATGGCCACACAAAAGACTGCATCAAGGTTTGGGGCCGGGGGCAGCAAAACAGGAGGACATCACACTGCCTGTGTCAAGACTGGCACTGGGTCTCCTAGCCAAGGCTCTATGAAGACAGACAACACAGGAAAGGCTGATGTTGTTCCCATGAAGGAGACCAAGACACAAGGACATACTTGTGGGACACAGAAATAAAAGTCACCGTTTCCACTTTAGAGTAAAACACAACTTAGTATGAAACATGGTACGAATGACAAGAACTACAGCCCTACTCTGGCAGCTCCAGACTTTGAAACTCTGGCATCAAAGGATGTATAGCTTGGGGAAGAGTGGGGAGGGGCCAAGAAAAAAGACATCACTTCCCAGTACCATTTTGAGCAGTGAAAAACAGTAAGACAGGAAGAGAGAAGAGGAATGTGACAATACTGAGTTTCTGGAAAATGCTTTAGGGCCCCTAGGAAATAACTATGAAATATTAATGAGATTGGAGGTCTTGCTTCAACAAGAGGAGCCAAAAATCAGTGATAATGATCACTCTTTTGTATCTACAAAAGTAAGGAAAACTGGAAAGTATTAAAAACTAGAAGAAAATACCAGAACCTTAACAGGTCCATCTCTGGGTAGAATTTCGGGTGATGGTTACTACCTTTAAATTCTCTTTATTTCCCATTTCAGACAAGGTTAATTTTACCCTATGCATTCAAAAAGAATTCCAAAGTTATGCTAATGAAATTAGGTTTTGGCTTTAAAGTCCAAAACAAGAGGTATACTATATCTGTTTAGAATGTTACTTTCTATTGGCCTTTGCTGCTTTTTCAACTTTCCATCCAAGACCTGCAGGTGTTAACCATAAAACCAGAATTGAAACAGGAAAATAAATAAATTTTCTTTGTTTCCCCAAAATTATCTACCATGAACAGTACTATTTTATAATAGGGAGGAAAGGGGGGATTTTTAAAAGTCAGTCATCAAAATGAAAATGAAAATACTATTTCTACAATTAGATTTCAAGCCTACACCAAAATCTGTTTCAGACCTCTTACCAGACAACTATATCTTGTTATAACTATACATGTGAGGTTAACTGCCACTCTTCTTAGAATGAGTGTATTTTACTACAGTTATACATTTTAACCAGAAAAAAAATTAGACCCCCATTTTTTCCTAAGATTTATTTATTTATTTATACAAGCACTGGGTACAGTCAGCAGCGTGGGAGGGTGAGAGAATTCACCAGAGCCAGAGCGGGGAACAGAGCAGGCAGAAGGACCGAAGTACACTGCTGAGGGGAGCAGCGGGTGCGGCAGGAGAGGTCTGCGCACCATGTGGGACCGAGCTTCTCTGGTGGCCAGGGAGCAGTCGGGAATCGAACCAGCGCTGCAGAGGCTGCAGGCAGCTTCACAACCCAGCGCTCAACCGCTGCACCATCGGGGAGGCCCACCCCCCAATATTTATCCTACCTCATTATATTTACTGTGCCACTTTTGGTTCACCTGTATTTTAATATGCTATTTCAAAGCAGGAAGCTCATATTTATTGACTGACTTGAAAAATCTAGGACTAGCCCTCCCCTGGTGGGGCAGCAGTTGCTGCGAGGCTGCCTGCAGCCTCTGCAGTGCCAGTTTGTTCCCCGGCCTCCGGCAAGGGTCCCACACACACACACAAAAAAAAAATTAGGACTAGTACACCTAGGCAAACAGACATTATTGCTAAAGTGGCAGATGTTCTGAGTTATTCAAACCTCATCAAATAATTTTTATCAATCATCCACGATGTACCTTAAGTTGATCCTCACAGACATCATAAATTGACTTTCTGAAATGATGAAAGCGATGAGGTCATATGATTGTTAAAATGCTCCCAATAGGTCTAGCTTTGGAAATTCTCCTCTCAGGCAATAAAGAAAAGCTCATGGGGGCCTCCCTGGTGGTGCAGGGGATAAACTCTCAGCCGCTATAAAGTTATTGCCAGCCACTGAGGCATAAGTTTAATCCCTGGCCAGAGAGCCATAGACCAGGGAGCTAACCCATATGGGACAGACCTCTCCTGCAGTGTATTTCAGTAGATTCGCCTGTTCTGTTTCCCACTCTGTCTCTGGTGAATCCTCTTACCCCCTGCACTTCTGGCCTGGCCTACACCTCAGTTCTTGTATGCATAAATATAAATAATAAATAAAAAAGAAGGGAAGAAAGGGAAGAAAGGGAAGAAAGGGAAGAAAGGGAAGAAAGGGAAGAAAGGGAAGAAAGGGAAGAAAGAAGAAGGGAAGAAAGGGAAAGAAGGGAAGAAAGGGAAGAAAGGGAAGAAAGGGAAGAAAGGGAAGAAAGGGAAGAAAGGGAAGAAAGGGAAGAAAGGGAAGAAAGGGAAGAAAGGGAAGAAAGGGAAGAAAGGAAGAAAGGGAAGAAAGGGAAGAAAGGAAGAAAGAAAGAAAGAAAGAAGAAAGAAAGAAAGAAAGAAAGAAAGAAAGAAAGAAAGAAAGAAAGAAAGAAAGAAAGAAAGAAAGAAAGAAAGAAAGAAAGAAAGAAAGAAAGAAAGAAAGAAAGAAAGAAAGAAAGAAGAAAGAAAGAAAGAAAGAAAGAAAGAAAGAAAGAAAGAAAGAAAGAAAGAAAGAAAGAAAGAAAGAAAGAAAAGCTCATGGGTATCTTTGTAAACAACACCTTAAGACCCATTTCATACTAAGATTATTCTTAAATAAAATGAGGCACAGCCCCAGCTATTAATTCTGTATGATACTTATTTAGAAGACAAACATCCAGGAACCTAATATAGTCTCCACTTCTTAGTAGTATTCCTGAGTATTTTATAGGGAAAGGAAAATGTTTAAGTTTAGTGACACATTTTAAAAGCAGGGAGACATTCTTACCTGGAGATCTGATGTCCAGCATAGAGGAGCAGGGCCGTCAAAAAATAGAGGTAAAGCTGAACCAGATGCTGCCTTGGCAGGGTTAGCAGCACAACACTTAAGATATAACCTGCAGTATAAATTAGGAGTGATATAAATACATAGGATTCTAAATTTATTCTCCCAATTAATTACACTAATAAAAAGAGCTCAAAGCAAATTACTTCCAATTAGATTTCAGCAACTTTGAGGTTTTTTTCACTTCACCACCACCAATTTAATAGCAAAATCACTACGGATTTTTTGTTGTTGAAGACAGAAAGCATTTTTCACTTGTAGATTGTTCTACCTTACAATCAAACACATTACACAAAAGAAAAACAGGACCCCTATTAGCATCTACTTGCTTTCATGTCTACTTATCTGTTCTATGCCAGGCTTCTCAATGTGCAGTTCCAGGAGAAGATTTAGGCCTAACTCCCTTCCAAAAGCAGACTTTCGTCTAAGACCATCCATTTCCAACTCCTAGTAGCTCCCTGACACCAGTCCTGACCTCTGTTTTCAAAGAATGTGCAGGGCTTTTCTCCCAGCCTTGAAGAAAATCTTTTCTATTATTCCCTTTTCTATCATCTTTTTTTCTCATTCCACCTTTATAAATTATCGTACTGACAACTGTATTTTCTAATCATCTGTTTCTCCCCTCTTTACTTTCTACAATCCACAAACCTCTACAAACCTAGTGTACTCTTCCACTCTGAAGAACTGGGCAGTCAGCAATTTCTGTGGGATATACTGCTGTTCCCCTCCAGCATCCAAAGTAACTACCCAAAAAGTTTTCTTTGTATCCTCTCAATTTCCCCATCTCTTTTCTTTCACCTTCTCAAACAGAAAATCCAGTCCCTATAAAAATGCTTTTCTTTCAAACATATAGCTCAAATAATCTGTTTTATTAATTTCAAATAAATCTTTCCATATGTATACTTATCAACAAATAGTTACCGAGAACCTACTACACAAGACAAAACACGTAATCCTTTCTTATGCTTAAGAAGACATCTCCCAGCTCATGCCTGAGATATTCCACTTACACATCTCACATTCAACAAGTAGAAAATGAACTTCCTTCTTGTCCTCCTTCAACAAGTGAGCCTGCTCTCTCCCATCTCCTAAATCCCATCAGTCACTGAGAGCTGAGAGTCATCCTTTTTCTTCTTATGAAGTCCTGCTGAGTCTTTCTCACAAAGTCTTTCCCTTCTTCTTCCCTAACCTACACACGTACTTCATTCACCCACATATATCCTCTACTTCATTAACAGGGCAATATTCCCAAAACCACTGCTTCATCTAGACAACTCTCCTAATTTAGAACCTTCAGAAGTTCCGACTTCTCAGTCTGAACGTTGTATGTCTTGCAATGTCTGGTCCCAGTCCAGTCTGCCAATTAATGAGTCTTTATCAGAGCACAGATATTCCTACTTAGTATTTAAGGTCCTTTCATGCTAAATCAATCATGCTTAAAGCTAAGGAAGCAAAGGTAGTATACCAGGGTCTAAAGAGGTGGAAATCAGGACCTCCCTGGTGGCTGAGGGGTTAAATCTCAGCACTATCACCACAAAGACCTGAGTTGGATCCCCAGCCAGGGAGCTAACCTACATATGGTGCAGCAGACCTCTCCTGTGTCACCCACTGCTCCCCTTAGCAGTGTACTTCAGCAAATCTGCCTGCTCTTCCCCCCATTCTGTCTCTGGTGAATCCTCTCCTCTGGCCTACACTCAGTTCTTCTAACATAAAAATAAATTTTTTAAAAAAGAGGGATCTCCCTAGTGGCACAGGTGGTTGAGCACAGTGTGCTGTGAAGCTGTCCGCAGCCTCTGCAGTGCCAGTTCGATCCCCGCCAGCCATGGAGCAACCCACATGGTGCAGCAGACCTCTCCTGTCTCACCTGCTGCTCCCCTCAGCAGTGTATTTCATCAATCTTTCTGTTTTGCTCCCCGCTCTGTTTGTGGTGAATCCTCTCACCCTCCCGTACATCTGGCTTGTACCCCAGTTCTTGTATAAATAAATCTTTTAAAAATTTTTTTTTAAAAAAGAGGTAGAAATCAGATTTCCTATGCACCTAACTATATGGTAAATTTAGCAGGAGTCAGTGATAAATATATTTTTTGTTTTTAATTTCTTAAAAATAATTTCCTCATTTTATTTTGCTAACCCTATCTCAAGGAACTTGAGGTATCTTAAAGGATTGTTACTTTTAGGAAGCATATTTTGAGTTTATAATTTAAGATTTTCTAATCCGCCTATTGCATGAAACCACTCCTTAAATACTATCCTTTTAAAAAAAGATTTATTTATGCATACAAAAACTGGGGTACAGGCCAGAGGTGTGGTGGGGGTGAGGACTGGCCAGCGACAGAGTGGGGAGTAGAACAGGCAGACTGACTGAAATTCACTGCTGAGGGGAGCAGCAGGCATGACAGGAGAGGTCTGCTGTGCCCTGTGGGTTAGATCCCTGGCCGTGGATTGAACTTGTGCTGCAATGGCTGCCGATGTATTCTTGGTGCTGAGACTTAACCCCTTGCACCACCAGGGATGCCCTTTAAATACTATCTTTTAATGAACTATTATTTTCCTTTCCAGATAGTCTCCCCTCTGCCTTCCGCTGCACATCTCATAAAATCAACTATAGACCCTCTAGATTAAACATATTCATTTCATTCATCCTTTCAATTATGTAGTCACTCAACCAACATTACTATGTGTAAGTATAACCCATATACATCCCTAGATGTTGAAGATTAGAGAAGAATAAAGAAAACCCTTCCTAGTGGGGAAAAAATATGGTACAGTATTGCTGCTGTAATCAACATTAGAAGGGCCATGGGTGGTTAATTAATTAAGCTTGACCTGGATTTCTCATCAAGCTACAAAAAGGGAAAACATTCTAGGAAATGAGAATAGCAGGAATGAAAACCATAAAAACACAAAAGGATACTTTCAGGGAATAGTAAATTTTGTAGGTTTGACTAGAATGCAGAGTACACAGGGCATGGGCAATGAGGTTGATAAAACTGGTGGCTGAAGTCTCAATATAAAGCCTTGTATGTGATAATGAGTTTAGAGTGGGCTACTGATTCTTGAATCCTTTAGGTGAGATAAAGAAAAAAAAACCAACAATGGAAAGTGTATAAATGGAGGCAAACATATACCACTATTTTCACATTCCAAAGGAAAAACAACTCTGATAATAAAAAAATGTATTACGTAAGATTTTTGAGGGATTGTAAACACCTATGCTAAAACAATGAGCATGAATCATATGAATGTACAATGTGTACATAAGCTGTTTGAAAAATGCATGCCAAAACTATTGCTGATGCAAATATACAACACTATTCATTTATAGATACCCAAACCACAATAAACAAAATGGACAAGAATAAAACTAACCCAACAGTAGTTTATAATGTAAAATATAGGAATTCTGCTACTTAGAGATTATTGTAGCAATGGAGGGAAAAATGGGCCTGAGATAAAACCATAGCTTTGGGTATGGAGCTGGCAAGATGAGCAATGAGATACATCTTTAAATAGGACTTAGTGGCGTTTTCTGGGTAAGTGGTTAACAACAAGGAAGTGAAGATGTTCTGGCATTTCTAGCCTGAGTACTCAAGACGAGAGCTTTGCATTTTAAGATAGGAAATACAGAAGGAGAAAGAGGTTTAAGGTAAGGGAAAGGTTCTAAGTTCAATGATGATAAGTTGAAGGGTATATATAGAATATTGAGGTAGATATTTATAACAGGTAGTTATAAATTCACTCATTTGGGATCAGGCACTGGCCAGGTGCTGGGAATACTGAGATATAGATGCCCTGCTCCCACCTTCGAGGAGCTCACAAGGCAGTTAAGAAGCATAGGAGCATACCCACCCTTAGAAGACAGCACAATGAGTACTGTGGGGGAGATATGAACTGGGTACCTAGGAGTTGAGGGGGGACGCTATCCCAGACTTGGGTGGTCAGAAAAGCACTGTAAAGTGGAGATAGAGATCTGCAGCCACAACTAAGTGACATCAACTGAACAAAAGTTGAAGACTGAACACAAATTTTAGGTTATATCAACATTAAGAAGTTTAACAAGACAGCAAGAGACTCAGAAGTAATGATTAGAAATAAAAAATACTAGTCACCTAGTATTTGGAAAGAGGAAGTGGTCAACAACTTTATAAACATGGGAAGGTCTGCAGAATGAGAACAGAAATGAAGGCTGATTTTTACATTTTAGGTCACCAATGATTTTAGTGATGGTTTCAACTGAATTGTTCTCATACACACCCTTTCCTGTCCAATGTCTACCATGCTAATTCTGCTCTCAACACCTCTAGCCTAAAATCCCAGCTAGTACTCCTACCCTCCTGTTGTCCACTACATTCCCCAATCCATCATCCCAAACAACACTGCCTAATTAATCTTAAAAGACATGTCTCCTACCTACTCTAAATCCAGGTCCCTGCCCACCTACCAAATTAAGTACAATATCTAACATATTTTCAGAGTTGTTCACAAATGGTACCATTCTACCTTTTCAATAATATTTACATTCCCCTTTTCATATCCTACAGTCTGTGCAACAATTCTGTAAAACATTCCATGAATTACATTTGGACAGGCACTTTTCTTTACTGTTCAGACAGAACTCCCCAACTCATATTGAATAGCTAAGTCTAAAGGTTCTATTTTATTCCATACACATTCTACTCCCGATCTTGATTTTTATGCTCTTAGTTACAATTAGAGGATGTAAAGGAGAAAAAACAACAGCAACGAAAGATAAAATACTTAGTATTGAACTGAATAAATGTCTAAAACCTATATAAAGAAAACCTCAAAACACTCCAGAAATACTCAAATGAAGTCTTGCACACAGGAGGCCTTCTATGCTCTTACATAGAAAGATGTCAGCATCCTTAAGCTATCTCGTCACACTCACACTAACTTAAAATGTTAATAATAATGAAATCTCTGGGGGGTGGGGGGCGGGAGGGGAGGGATTGGGGTCAGAATGGGGGGGTTGCAATTGTATGGGGAATATAAAAATAAAATTTATTATTTAAAAAAAATAATGAAATCCCAAGGAGAAAGGTCAATAGGGTTGATTATTTGGGAATATAAGGTTAGATAATTCTAAAGCTCACATATATAACTAACAGTAACAGAAAAGCTCTGAGGGGGAAAATAAAAACTCATGAAGAAACTGTATCAGACAGTAAAACGTGATTCTAATCCTCAATAATAAAACAGACTTGGAACAAAAACTTCAGACATAGGACAAAGGATACATGAGAATTTACTAAATAATAACCAGGAAAACTTAGACTAAGCTATTTAATAAATACAAATACAGATAGTTGACAATAAAATTATATCTATAACACACAGTAAATTATAAATAGAGCAGATTTTTTTTTAAACTTTTTTTAAAAAAAATATTGATTTTATGCTTAGAAGATCTGGGGTGTTGGGGCCTCCCTGGTGGCTCAAGGGTTTAAGACGCAGCCTATGAAGCTGACGCAGCCTCTGCAGCACGAGTTCGATCCCCGGACAGGGAGCTACCCACATGGCGCAGCAGACCTCTCCTAACTCACCCACTGCTCCCCTCAGCAGTGTATTTCAGTTAATCTGCCTGTTCTGCTCCCCACTCTGTCTCTGGTGAATCCTTTCACCCCCCACACCTCTGACCTGTACCCCAGTTCTTGTATGCATAAATAAATCTTTTTTAAGGGGCCTCCCCAGTGGCGCAGTGGTTGAGTGCTGGGCTGCGAAGCTGCCCACAGCCTCTGTAGCGCCAGTTTGATCCCCGGCCGCGGGCGAGGGTCCCTCATGGCGCGCAGACCTCTCCTGCCACGCCCACTGCTCCCCTCAGCAGTATATTTCGTCAGTCTGCCTGTTCAGCTCCCCACTCTGGCTCTGGTGAATTCTCTCACCCTCCCACACTTCTGACTGTACCCAGTGCTCATATAAATAAATAATCTTTAAAAACAAAAAATTCTGCATGTCAAAAAAGTCATAGCAAATTCAAGAGAACTAAAACTAGAAAAATCATTTTAATTCATCAAAAGCAGTTAATGTCCCTAATGTTTACCAAACTCCCACAATTGGTAAGAAAAGACCACTGATCCACGGAAAAGTGGGTAAGGAACATGAGCTAAACGACCTCAGAGAAGCAAATGCACATTTTTCTTAAAGAACTAAATAAACTCAATCTCACTTAGACTAAGAGAAATGTAATTTAAAACCATGTTTTAAAAAACATCAATTTTTCACTTACTGGAGTACTCAAGTATAAACATTTGGATAACACTGCTTTGATAAGGGTATATAAGATTACAGGAACTCTCAACCACTGTTTACTATTACAAAATAGTAAAATTCTATGTGGAGCAAATCCATCAACGTTACAAATGGGTTTTCTCTTTAATTCCACTTCCACCAACACAACCTTAGGCTCTATTTGTACCTGTGGAAATTATGGATCTGCAAAATTATTGAGTACAACCTGTACGAAATAGCAGAAACAGAAGCTATCTAAAAAGTCTACCAATGGGGTAATGAATTCAATAAATTATGGGACAGCCATACAAGGATACCATAAAACAAAATGGGAGGGCAGAAAGGAGAGTGAGGATTCATTTAACCAGAACCTAAGATTTGGCAGAAAGTGTCGGTGTAAAAACATAGAGCACAAAGATTATTTCATGAGTATCTAGGGGTTCCCCAGTCAGGAAGTTAACCCACATGTGGTGTAGCAGCCCTCCCCTGTCTACCCCACTGGTCCCCTTAGCAATATATGTCATGTCAGTAGATCTGACTGCTCTGCTATCCACTCTATCTCTGGTGAATCCTCTCACCACCTGTACCTCTGGCCTACACTACCCAGTTCTTCTATGCAAAAATAAATAAAAACTTTAAAAATAAGTAATCAAAAGCAATAAATAGTTATGGCTACACATAAATAAACGGAAAAAAGAGGTTCAAAAACCTTTACTAAATTAGGCTATCATCTGTTTAAAAAATGGGAAATATGTCATATTTGCGTTTATATATCAATATATATTTGTTTACATATATACAACTATACATCCAAAGTTATACACAAAGAAATAAAAATTGCTACTTACTGGGTCTCAGAGTGAGAACTTAGTGGAAACACAGATAGAAGGAAGATACTTTTCACTATCTTCCACCAACTTCACAAATCAAGTTTTTTTAATTTTTATTTTGTATTTTTGCTTAGAAGAACTGGGATGTAGGCCAGAGGTGCAGGGGGTGACAGGATTCACCAGAGAAAGAGTGGGGAGAAGAGGCAGATTTACTGAAATATACTGCTAAGGGGAGCAGAGAGCAAGACAGGAGAGGTCTGCTGTGCCATATGTGGGTTAGCTCCCAGGCCGGAGATTGAACTTAGGCTGCAGTATATAAGTGCTGAGACAACACCTAGGCCACCAGGGAGGCCCAAAATCATTAATTTTAAAAATATACTTCAAGATGAAAATTGTGTCAACTGGAACTTATATAAACTGTACATAAGGGCCTCCCCTGGTGGTGCAGCGGTTGAGTGCTGGGCTGTGAAGCTGCCCGCAGCCTCTGCAGAGCCGGTTCAATCCCTGGCCACCGGTTAGGGTCCCACATGGAGCACAGACCTCTCCTGCCACCCGCTGCTCCCCTCAGCAGTGTATTTTGTCCGTCTGCCTGTTCTGTTCCCCGCTCTGGCTCTGGTGAATTCTCTCAACCTCCCGCGCTTCTGACTGTACCCAGTGCTTGTATAAATAAATAAATAAATCTTTAAAAAAAAATTTTAAAAAAAAGTACATAATACTTTGACACAGAAGTTACACCAACCAAAAAACTGTTCAAGCCGACAGTATCTGCTCATGTCATTGCTGAGCTTACCCCACCACAGTATACAATAAGTGTACTTATAAAGGTGTCATTGAGTTTCCAAAGTTATAAGCCAGAGTAATATTTCAACTGCACTAGAACCCATTCAATTTCTAAAATTAACCTTTCTTATTATTAGACAGCTGTTTTTATAATAAATATTTCAATCTAGTCAGAAATAATACATGACAAGCACATTTTTAAAACCAGTGTGAATTACTTTGCTGAATAAGCTGAATACCTAAGCTAGGTCCCCAATTGTTGTTCTACAATAGGCTGGAATTATTTCCACAAATTAGCTAACATAACAAAACCTTTAGGGAAAAGGGCTGAAAATTACAGTGTTTTATAGCATAAAAGAACCTCTTCATTCCAGACTTTTCCAAGGTAGTGCTGTCTGAGAGAGATGGGGTTTACTGTACCCAGATATTAGGCCTCTATCTAACATACCATCTTTTTCACTGTACGATACTTCTTCCCACTATGGTTTACTTGCTACTCTCTCATAGCTGCAAGGGGTTCACAGAGCTAAACTATGAAACCCAAAAAGTCCTTCCATATAAAAAAAAAAAAAAACACAAGAAACACAACCCTTCACAATTTTATAAAAGACACCCTTGAGATGGGCAATTCTAGTAATAAAAGTATTAATGATACCACTACACAGTCTTGAGTTAAGCAATAGCAATGTCAAGTTAAAATATGTCATTGCAATCATTACATATACACCAAAAATTAACCTAAAAATTAAGGGACATTAACTTTTATTCAAGATAAATTTTATCTCTGGTTTATGTATTTCTTGACTTTAATTTCTTTAACCTCTCAACAATACTTTTACCATTAGCCACAAATCCCATCAGTAACAGTTTAAGGAATATATTTTAAGAAAGAAAATATTACTGGGCTGTCAGAAAAGTCATAAAGTATTTGAAAAAACTTATTTGGCAACCCAATATAATACCACCAAACTGGGGCCTCCCTGGTGGCGCAAGTGGTTAAGATGCAACCTATGAAGCTATCCACAGTCTCTGCAGCGTGAGTTCGATCCCCGGCCAGGGAGAAACCTATATGAAGCAGCAGACCTCTCCCAACTCGCCCACTGCTCCCCTCAGCAGTGTATTTCAATGTATCCACCTGTTCTGTTCCTCGCTCTGTCTCTGGTGAATCCCTCACCCCCCACACCTCTGGCCTGTACCCCAGTTCTTGTATGCATAAATAAATCTTATAAAAAATAAATACACAAAAGATGGCAGTCCCTGTGACCTAGGAGTTAAGTCTCAGAGCCATCACCCCTATGGCCTGAGTTCCATTCCAGGCCAGGCACAGCAGACCTCTCCTGTCTTGCCTACTGCTTCCCTTAGCAGTTTATTTCAGTAAATTCACCTGTTCTGCCCTCCACTGTCTTTGGTAAATCCTCTCACCCATTCCCCCCACGCCCGCTCTGGCCTATACCTACTTCTTCTACTCCAAAAAAAGTAAGCAAACCAACAAAAAACACAAAAGACAAATACATCAGAGACTGCTCACTGAAAGATTAGAAAAGCTGATGTAGATACTTACCTACATAATGCATATTAAGAGCCAAATACTTATACTGGAAAAGAGGGTTGTTACTGAGGCTACTTCTTTGGATCTGCTGGAAGAAGGAGCTAACGTCCCATCTGTACAGCACGTCCAACAGCATGATGCTGGGCACCCTCAAGGCCACATTTAACACTGCCTCCAGCTTCTCCTTTGCAGCCATGTTTTTTCTTGGAGCAGACCTAAAATTCAGGAGAGACAGTATATAAAACCAAGTCAATGCAAATATCTTTTAAAGATCCTCTTATGAATCTCATGGATTGTCCTTAGCCAGACCTACAATTTCTAGGGCTTTGTAAAATGACCCACGTAGTTTTTTCACATTGACATTTTCAGGTATGCCCAATCAAGATTCTGATTAAACATTCAATCTCACAACTTATTTTTTAAAGGTCCACTAACTCACTACAAATCTAGGCACTCAGCAACAAAAACACCCTGTAAAAAACTGGCTTTTGGCCAACTAACTTGAAAAGTCAAATTCACTCATATGAAATTGTGAGATTTATGTAGTGCTTTTAAAAAAGCGGGGGGGGGGCACATTTTAAACACAAAAAAACCTAGTCACTAAAAATCTGAAAACAGCATATTGCAGCTTGCAGTGTATCATAATCTGATCTTTTCCTTATTACTTACAATCAAAACTGAATATACATGATACAGACACAATCCAGAGAACTCAAGATATAAAGGCAACATATTTTGCAAGATTGCTTCCTTGACTCATTAAACCCCTTATCTGAAATTCCCATAATCTGCCTTTAAAGTAGGAAAATAATCCCCATCAAATTCTTCCCATGATGGAGAGACATACGCTGGCACGTGATGGAAGAGTCAGGTACTGGCAATACCCTGGCTTGATTAGCAACTGAGTACTAAAATAAAAAAAATTAAAATTAAAATAAAAGATCTCCTGAACCCATTATTTAAAAAGAAAACCAAGTTCAACACCCTTTTATATGATAGAGGTGCAAATTAATCCAAGGAGTTACAGGAATGAGCATAGAGCAAACAAAAATGGGTAGAGAACAATTTAAGAATAAAGATAATTGTGGAGTGTTGGCTCTGACAACATTCTTTTAAGCATTTTGCTGAGAAAGCTAAACACATTTCGAGTTTTGGCAGTAATTTCAGACATTACAGGACAAATGAAAACATTTATTTCTGAAGAAAATTATAGTGACAGATTGCTATGGTATGGTTAAATATTTGTCAGTATTTCCATTTTACCCTCTAATTTTCAGAGCTCCCTAAGACAGTTTTACAAAAAGTAAGGCAGCTCAACTTCTCAACTTGGCAACAATTTAATAATAAAAGTTTCTCAATCACTGAGAAACTGATTTTACTGAACACTGATTTTGATCATATAACACTGATGCTACCTAAGTGTTGTCCAACAACCCCCACTAATAATGCAGAATTAACATTTTTACAAATAGATACCATTAATTCTGATTACTTTAAATGAGTTAGACCACTTTAATAATTTTCCTAAAGAAAAAATATTTTAAAACTCAAAACCAGGGCCTCCCCGGTGGCACAGGGGTTGAGCGCTGGGTTGCAAAGCTACCCGCAGCCTCTGCGGTGCTGGTTGGATCCCCGGCTGCTCCCCGGCCACCGGAGGAGGGTCCCACATGGCGCGCAGACCTCTCCTGCAGCGCCTGCTGCTCCCCTCAGCAGTGTACTTCGGTCCTTCTGCCTGCTCTGCTCCCTGCTCTGGCTCTGGTGAATTCTCTCACCCTCCCGTGCTTCTGATTGTAAGCAGTGCTTGTATAAATAAATAAACAAACAAATAAAAAAAAAGAAAAAAAGAAAAAAAACCTCAAAACCAAATAGCTGTGTCCTAAGGGGGGAGAAAAAGTACTGAAAAATAAATCACTTATCAACATGTATTACAAATTACACCATTCAGGAACCTAAATTTCTCAAAGCTCTTATTACTGAGGAAAAAAAAAAAATCCTGGGAAGAAATATACTAAAATAGTCATATTCACATCCTTTCAACAGTAAGATTAAGGTGATTTTTAGTCCCTTTTTTTCTGTCTTTTTCTCTTTGTCAAATATTCTAGAAAACCCGTATTATGGGGGGGAGGGGTGAAGAGGAAGAGGGATTAAAAAAAAGAAAATGGTAAAACATATGATATTGTCCAAGCTGTCTCACTGATTTAAGGAAATAACTACCTACACTGATGGTCAAACTGTTGGGAGTGCAGAGGAAATATAGATTTTTCTCACAAACCACCAGTCGTGTGAAAATCACCACATACCAAGATACCATTCACAGCTTTATCCTATAATGGAAAACTCTTTTTTCCCATATTCTAGAATCCAATATAAATCAGTACTTCTGCTCTTATAGCAAAAAAAGGTACCACTACTGAGCTAATACTTTTGGTTCACATTTATTTCAACTGACTTGGCACCTTCCTGTTTTAATGTTTTGTTATTTTTAAACATACCAACTCGCACCATTTATTGTAGTTCTTAAAGAGATTTAAAAATATAATCAGGGTGGCGCAGCAGTGGGTTGAGCACAGTGCTGTGAAGCGGCAGACCTCTCCTGTCTTGCTCACAGCTCCGCTCAGCAGTGTCTTCGGTCCGTCTGCCAGTTCTGCTCCCCACTCTGTCTCCCGTGAATTCTCTCACTCTCCCACGCCTCTGGCCTGTACCCCCACGCTTATATAAATAAATAAATCTTAAAAAAAATAAAAAATAAAAATATAATCATCCTACATTAGAAATCAAAGTCTGAACTGCTACAGAAAAAAATCTATCTAATTCTTACAGAGGATTAACTCTATCACAAAAGATGGTCATGGACAGAATGCTACCTTTCCTCTTAAGCACCATATTTCCTGCTTCACAATTAGAACAAAAATTTAAAAAAAAAAAAAAAACAAAACACCTGGGTGGTTCAAAGCTGTCAATACAGAAGAATAGCCAAGAAAACAGATACCCAAATTTTATTTCAGAATAAGCTCAAGAATCATATCCACACTGGATAAAATGAAATATGTCTGTTTAATAACAAATCTATTGCTTATTAAATGTTTAATTTATTTCTGTACTCAGTGATATTTTAGCAGACTAGAGATATAGAGGAGACAGATGTAATACATGGAAAACCAAATCTAAAATACCTGCAAGAGCTAAGGAAAGAAAGGAAAAAATTTTTCCCCAAATCTTTGTAATGTTGAACCTTTCGAAAGTATAAAGGCCACATGATAGAGTGGTGATCATCACAAATAAATTACTTTACACTATACACTACACCAACACCTACACAAAACATTCAAATACTTATCCTTAGTGCAGATACAAGAAATCACACACCTTCAAATGGCTGTATCACCAACATGAAGTATAAAAATGGTGTCTTCTTTCCTGAAGTAAAGAGATTTTTATACCTCTTAGAAGTTTGATTCAAGTCTAATTTATCTTATTGTCATACCAAACTAATGATGATATTCTGAGTCAGAGGGAACTCAAATTCTCTTAAAACCTAACAATACTAAATAATCTTACAAAATAAGCAGGAGAGCCAACAGCAAAGAAAATGCTTGCTACTGCCCTAAAGCCACATATATTTAAGTTCCTTCCTGCCCTGCTCAAATACTTCCAGTTTACCTGCCATGCAAGATTTTAAAACTTCCTCCTTGAACTGTGGGAACTGAGAAAGTCATACCCCAAAACAATGTCTCAGCGATTAGCAAACTGAATTGACTGAAACTGAAAAATGCTATACCCAGTAAAACAGCTTTTTAAAAAAGCCTTTCTTTCCAATAATGGCAAAAAAGCACCAAATGCTAACCCAGAAAAGGACAACTTCATTAAATGAAATTTCCAGGCTTGGAAGCAGCAATGCCACTTACACACACAGTAATGCCTTGTGCAAGCAAAACGTGGCACGGTGCAAACGCAGGAAATAGGGGGTTTCATTCTATAGTTTCCTGAAAACATTGCATTTTGGTTTTGAATATTGAAGAAATCAAACCATTCTGAATAAGGTGAAAAATGGGATTTTTAGTCACAGCTCACTCTGATTTATGTCAGCGTATGTCAAATAATAGAAATGGGAACTGTGATCTTACCAAAAGAAGTTTCACAGCTCCTAAGATAAACTCCTTTTAAAAAGACAAATAAGAATGCCACAAGATCCAATTTACAAGAATTCAGTATACTAATCAAATATTTTAAGGCTGAGTTTTTACGTCTTTTTCCCCATCAAAAGAATAAAAACAAAAACTATCATTCATCAGTAATCACCTTTCTCTGCCCATCCAATTAAATAAGGAAAAATTCTGCCATTTGTTAAAACCAATCTTTAGAAAAACAGACTTTCAGGATGTCCGTATGTTACGATGGTGAGCCCTGACAATTAATGTAAGGGGATTAAGTTGGAGCCTCAAATCATATGTAAACTCAGCCAAAAATTGAGATACCATGAGAGCGCACTTCTTACATAATAAGCATTGGCACACGTTTTAAATATAGCTGGTCCTCCCCACTCCCACTCATCGCTAGCTAACTTTATATATACCTGATTTCCACATCAACTACTAGCAGTTCTTTGCTTTCTCCTCTCGAAAAGGGCAAAGATCTCGCGTCCACTCCGAATACAAGGGCCTTCTTTCAACTTAAGGAGCCAGATGGAGGAAATAAAAACTGCTACCTCGGCCATTGGGCGCTCAGCCTGGCTCACGACTGCAGCACCGACAGACAGCTCATCCTCTGGTCATGATTCAAGATTCAGCAGAACCGCACACTCCGCATTTTCAAAAATAAAAAAGATGCACAGTCCTCTCCTTTCCTACTAGCAAACTAGTTTCCTGTTTACTGCAGGCTGCGACGCACAGCTATCGACAAATCTTTGATGCCTCTAGGCTGCAAAACCCCCTCCCTCTCTTGCACTGCCTAACCGCTCCCCCCTCCGCCCCGCCTGCAGCCAGCAGATGCGTTTGAACTATAGTAACCCCAACCTAGCTCGCAGCAAAGCCGGCGGCGCAGTAGCACTAGCAGCAGCAGCACTAGCAGCAGCAGCAGCAACGGGCTGCCTCCGCGGGGCTAGGAAATTACGTTCCCAAAAACTCTCCCAGGGTAGGCCAGTGCCAGGGAGCTCCCTCCTTTCTGGCCAGGGGTGCAGCCTCCACGCGCCACGCACCAACCAGCTTCCGATGCAAAACGCGGGCGAACTTCATCCTCCTCCGACAGAAAAGGGGCTCATTCCAGAAGGGAGGGTAGGGGTCCTCGGGTGGGGGCCGCAGAACCGGCGGGGCAGGGCAGGAGGATGGCAAGCGGGAGAGGAAAAGCGAGGGACAAAAAGGGAGGGATGAGGGCCAACAAGACTGACAGACGGACTGCCGAGCAGACGGGTCCCCACACCGTGGATAGCTAGGCAGGCCTTCCTGCACCCTCAAAACGCACGTCTGGGGGTCAGGCGGAGTTTGGGGCCGCGCAGCCCAAAAAAGGGGAAGGCGAAAGGGAAAGGGAAAGGGATGGGAGCCTGGAAGCAAAGTGGACAAAGACCCAGAGAGGGAAAGTTGGAAGTCGGCAACTGGAGGGAAGCAGCAAGGAAGCGGCTGCCTAGGAAGGGGGTGAGAAAAGGGCTGGAAACAGGGGTGCGCAGGGGGCGGGGGGCGAGCTCAGGAGCAGGGCATCTTAGGAATGCCGGGGGAGGCGACGGGTGTCTCCAGGAGGAAGGGGGGCGGGGGACGGCGGCGGGGAGCGGGGGAGGGGGCTCCCCGCGGGGCCCCGGAAGGGGCGGCGGGGCCGGACGGCCGGAGGGGCCGCGCGCGCGGCGGGGGGCAGGGAGGGGATGCTGCGGGCGCCGCGGCCGCGCCGCGGATGGGGAGGCGTGGAGGCGCCGGGATGGGGGAGGGGAGGACGGCGGCGGCGGGCAGCCCCCCGGGGCGGCCGCTCATTCACCTCAGGCGGCGGCCTCCGTCCCCGCGGGGCGGCGCCCTCCCCGGCTCTCTCGCCCGCCCTCCCGTTCTCCTCGGGCGGCGGCGGCGGGGGCCGGGATGGCGCGGCTCACAGAGGCGGCTCCTCCGCGCCGGGCCTGGGCTTCGGCGTCTGAGGCGGCGGCGGCAGCGGCGGCGGCAGCGGGCCGACTCGTGCGGTCACCATCGTCCGCGGCGGCAGGCTCCGGCGGCCCCGCGTCCCTCAGCAGCCAGCGGCGGCCATGGCCTCCTGCGCGCGCGCCTCCCGCCCCCGGCGCTCTGCGGCGGCCGCGGCCCGGCTCCCGCGCTCTGCGCCTGCGCGCGGCACGGCCAGCGCGGCGCGCCCCGCCCCCGCCCCCGCCCGCCGCCCGCCGCCCGCCGCCCGCCGCCCGCGCGCGCGCCCCCGCCGGCGCTCACTCACAATCGCGCGGGCCGGCGGGTTCCCGCGCCTTCTCGGGGCCGTGGGCGGCGGGCACGCGCCTCCCGGGCCCACGCAGCCCGGCTCGGCCGCTGGGGAGGCGCCGGCCGCGCCGACACCCGCACGCGCACTGTGACACGCGCCATTCTGACACACGTGCTCTCTCACACTCCCCAAACACCCCAGCAGCACGCGCTCGCACCCACACTCATCTGCCGGGACCACGTGGGCGAGTGGGACCAGGCGGGCCTCGCCCGGTGTGGCCGCGGGGCGGGCCGGGTTTGGACCCCCTCGCCGCCTGGGCGACGAGGCCGACGCCCGGGGAGAGCTGAGCAGTGCCTGGTACGAGTGGGTGCTCCATGAACCTGAAATAAGTGCGTGATCGCAGGCATCGGTGATTTGGAAGTGTCCACCGAGTATGTTTCAGTTTGGAAATTCCCATCCCTAAGTGGAAATAATTGTTTGCAAAGAATTTTACCAGAATAAAAAACTAAATGGTATTGCTATGTCTTGTTTTTTCGTCCAAGGTTCTAAACAGACAGGGTTGAGGAAATCCTTTTGTTCTGCCCCAGTCACTAGCACTGCCTTGCATGCCTGTCTTAATTTGGATGTCAGCACCTTTTAGCGCAGGAACTGCTCCCCATAAAGTCAAGTCTGAAGCATGTAATGTGTGCAGAGGGGATCAAGGATGGTGCTAATCTCTGGGTCTTGGCAGGTCTCTTTATTCCCGTTTTTTCTATTGCCCTGCCTCACCTACACACCACAAATCCCCCCCAGCCCTTTCCTGCTCCCCACAAAAAAACAAAACAAAACAAAAAACCTCTTACAGTGTTCCTTGCTTGGCTCTGGGTTAGTTCCTGGAGAGCCTGCCACTACTAGAAACCAGTCTGGCCTTAGATATTGGCAGTGTCTATACACACTGAATACACACACCCAGTAGCGGGTGATATATTGCCACTGTACTGGATCCTGTTCAAATTGTGCAACCTCAACTTCTCTGTGTTACAAGAGAAATTAATGTTAACCCTGCTTATCCCTGCATCTGTGGAGTTCACATCCAAGAATTCAACCAATTCCTGATGGGAATACAGTACTCTGTAGTTAGGCCCGTGATGGTCACAACCGGGCCTGTACCAAGCACATACACCTTTTTCCCTTACGATTTTTTTTTTAAAGATTTACTTATTTATGCATACAAGAACTGGGGTTCAGGCCAGAGGTGGGGGGAGTGAGAGGATTCACTAGAGATAAGAGAGTGGGGAACAAAACAGGATGGTTGACTGAAATACACTGATGAGGAGAGCAGTAGGCAAGACAGGAGAGGTCTGCTGCACCATGTGGATCAGCTCCATGGCCTGGATCAAACTCATGCTGCAGTGACTGTGGACAGCTTTGTAGTGCTGAGACTTACCCCTTGCACCACCAGGGAGGCCCTATTTTTTTGTTTGTTTGTTTGTTTGTTTGTTTTGTTTTCTTAGAAGAACTGATGTGTAGGCCAGAGGTGCAGGGAGATGAGAGAATTCACCAGAGACAGAGTGGGGAGTAGAACAGACAGATTTAGTGAAATACACTGCTAAGGGGGGGGCAGCAGGCGAGACAGGAGAGGTCTGCTGTGCCATATGTGGGTTAGCTCCCTGGCTGGGGATCAACTCAGGCTATAGGGGTGATAGTGTTAGGGGGAAAGGATGTCCTGAGCTAATCCCATACAGGCTTTGTGGACTCCACCCCCACTCCAGACTAAAGCCATCAGGACATTGGGAAAGACAAATCCCATCACCACCAAAGGGAAGGTGACTGGGACCTGAGGGTGGAGTTGGGCAGCCAGGTTGGATATAAAAACCAAACACGTGGGCCTTGGGATGGCTCGCTATCGCTCGCCTCCTGGCTTCACGGCTCCTGGCTGGCGGCCAGCTCTCAGAGCGCCATTTTGGGATTCCTGATCAGCGCATCGGGTAGGACTCATTTAAAACTTTGTCTTCCACTTTTCTCCCTGAACTGTACATTTCCTTATTTCCCCTTCCCTTGTAAATAAACCTTTTACTAACCTTTCGCGTGTGCCTGCAGTAGAGTATTGATAAGTCCTTTTAAGCGTGCGGGTGAGGACCCACAGTCAGGCACCCCGTTTTGTATCGGGGTTGCTCTACAACAATAGCACTGAGATTTAATCCCTAAGCCCCCAGGGAGGCCCTGACTCCACACTTTAAATGGTAAACCCCCGACTCTGAGTAACCTTCCTCTCTTGCTAAAATTGTAAAAGCAAGATCTACATTTAGAAAATGGAACCCTGGAGGCTTCAGTCAATCAAATGTAGAGTAACTTCCCTTCCACTAGTTGATAACTATAGAAACCAAGTATTTAAAATTTCTGGGAATTGTGTTCATAACTCTCTCTAGCCTGCTTTCATCCTAGTGCTTAGACAACTGTAGAATAATCATTAAGCCTACTACACTACAGGGAGGCAGTTTTATGAGTCTCTTATATAGGCCTGGTAAGTAAGAAATGACAGAGGTCACATTGACTAATGACTGGAACAGGAAACTGACCAAGATAGCAAGGCCTTTCCTTGGGCTGCTCCCTGTTTTAACAACTTTATTACTGATGGAGTCAAGAAAACATAAGCTCAGGAGTAGATTACAAAAATCTGTAGCTATACAATACTTATTTCTAACTGCTTTTATTCTCTTAGGGTAAATTGTGGAATCTTGAAAATAATACTTCTGTATTGTTACCGGATTTGTGCATTTTGTTTAGATTGGAGGAGAGACCTATCCCAGCTCTCACCTTTCGTTTCTTAAAGGCAGGGAAAGGGCTTCAAAGCCCTGTAACCCTCACTGTGAGTACTCTGGACTTGTAAAAGCAGGAAAAAGTCACGTGTCTCTGTCACCTCTGAATTTTACAGCAGCTGCCTGTAAATGTTGAGGTTCAAAACAAGTAAAGACAATAACTCTGGTAATGAAAGGGTTACTGCTATTAGAGTGCTGCTAAGCCAGTTTCGGGAAAGCTGTACATTGCCAGAAGCAGGTAACCAAATCAAACTAAATAGCAGAGCAAAAGAAAAAAGAACAGGGGGAGGAGTGGTAGCCCGGCTGTTCAAATAAAGGCCAGCCATCACCATGCAGAGTAAGTACTTTCTAGAGGCACCCAGACCCTCCCAAATCAGGAAGCAAGGAGCAAAACTTATCGTAAGTGCCTGGAATCTGGCTTCAGGAAATGCCCTACTAACATAGCTAGTCATTTACAGAAATTAGCGTAGGGTGCTGGAAGCAAAGAAGTGGAGTGTTTATGACTGAGTGACAGAGTTTTCAGGACTCTAAAGGTTATCTTCACATTTACTAAATTCATCCAAAGCTGAGGAAGAAGACAGCACAAAGTTCAAAGGGTTGTATTGTGACAACTCTAGCCATTCCACAAAGCTAGTAGTCCCTGAATTGCTAATAATCACACAGACAGTATTTTGTTGCAAACCTGCAGAGAACCTATGGCCAGTTCATTTTGCACTGCCTTTTAGTTCCAGACACAAGATCTC